CCTGGTGGCTTAAAACTCACGCCGGGCGCGTGTGCGTGCGTGCCCAAGATCCCGAGAGGAGAATGGAGGAGAAGGGACTGCGGCGTGACCATCCCCCCTGGGGGGTGATTTCTCGCTTTCTGTCTCTATGTCTCTCTCTCTCTGTCTGGCGAGCGCACGCGCCCTACAATGAAAATCTCTCAAAAAAAAAAAAAAAAGTCTGAAAATGACTTGTAGATTCATGCCGTTCAGGGATGTCATAACATTAGTGGATGTCTTCATTTCATTTTTTCCCGGGGGAAGGAAGACCTACCGTGCAACTGAAAGCTTGCCCTGCCAAAGAGAAGTTACATAGGAGTCGCTATTACAGAAGAATCATGTGAAACAGGCAAAATAGCTGTCAGCTATCACATTTTTTAAAACAACTTTTTGAAGCTCAGATTTCAACTGCAAAAAAAAAAATTCTTAATTTCATGAAGATGGTGCTGTTTTCTTAAATTTTCTCATTTCTCTGTTCATGGGTGAATGCTGTTAAGACATCAGCATTGGTACTGGGAAGGTATTTACAAAATAGCCGATCTTTGCCTATCTAACGAAGATCCTAGCGTTCTCTCAGTAGGTGATTCTTTGACGTTTTTCCCCTTGAAATCATTCACGTGCATCTGGTTTCCACAGGTGCAGAACTGAAGTGCTGCTGACAGTTTCTCTGATATCTACAAGTCCTAACTTTACAGTATAAATGCCAATGGGTTTTCATGATTTTAAATGGAAAAACACCTTTTTCTGTGAAGTATTAATTACTTCAAGAGCTTAAGATCTTTTTTCCCGACCATAAACTAGTGCAAGTTAACCTCACTGTGACTCAGTTGCTTCATAATTTAAAATGAAGATATTCTACTTCATTGATTTGTGAAGACTGAATTACTATAGTTAGTTCTCAGAAAGTTACTGCTATTGCTACCAGGTTAGGGAGAGGCGTAGGTCCAAAAGGGAGGAAGCTCTTCAAACTTCAAGTAGTCTTACAGATAGCAGGTGATAACACTGTTACATTTAAACTTGTTGCAGTGTGACAAGTATCAAGTTGTATACTAGGTCATGGTGAGTAGATAACCTTTCGAGATTTGATTTTAGCAAGGAAAGTGATACGGTTTGGCTTATAATTTACTCGAGGACAAGTCCCAAACAAAATGGTTGTGAGTGAATTATGGGGGAAAAAAACTTATTAGCTATGCGACATGAATAGCGCTGTTAAAAGAAAATGCTCAAGAGGGTTGTAGCATTTAGAAGCCACTCTGTTGCATTTCCCCATTTCACCACAAGATGGCAGGCACTACCTTTAAAAACGTCTATTGAG